TGAAGCGATGAAATTTCATGATTTTTTCTTTCATTTTGAAAGTTAAAAATAGAGCTTCAAAATGGCGTAAAGTTCATAAAAATCCTATCCACCAATTTCGAGATATTGACGATTGAAAATGTTTCCCTTTGCCCCACTCGCCTCAATTTTTTTAACTTTCAGATAAGGAAGTTATTGTAGTCATCCCAGTTAAAAAAATGTTTTTAGGTCATATTTTACATTTCAAAGTGTTTACAATCCTCCCGATACATTTTAAGAGTTGTTGGTATCTGTGTATGTAGGTATGTATACGTGCGTTAGTCTGTTCATAACATATGAATTGATAAGCACCAGTGCAGGTGAGAGTGGGGCAAAATAGAACATCTTCAAGCGTTAATATCTCGAAATTGATGCTATGGATTTTGATGAAATTTGTGCCATTTCGAAGCTCTATTTTTAAGCGTCAAAAGGAAAAATCCTTGAATTTTACCATTCCAATCTTGAGTTTTGAACGATGGAAGACGTCCTACTTTGCCTCGTTCTCCCCTAATGCATCTGCAGTCGATCTAATTGGATTCTGGAAGGAATTCGTTCAGTGGTGGTTCATGCAGAGTAGCTTGAAGAAAGGGAAAAAGGGGGAGAAATGTTCTATTGGAAAGTTGTTGGTGCGACCCGTTAACGGGTCAGGCCCACATCGATAAACATACAACCAACGCACCCAACATGTGAGCGAGCGAAACATGGCAACATCCCAGTGATTCGTTTAATAATTGAGACCTCACTTAGAAAGACGCCACCTAGTTTCGCTTTGATTGTTTACTCATCATGGGTAACAAATAAAACTATCTGAATCAATTAGGTACCCACATTACAGATCATTCTAGAGACCGACGCGCCTGATTAGGTTCCATAGAAGAGAGATGGATTTGAATAGTATCATGGAATTGTGTTATCCGATTCGAGTCACAGAGTAATTATGTACTCTTCAGGCACTGAGCCATGGACTGATTGTCCATATGAATCATCATGACTCAGAGAGGTTGAGCGGAAAATGACTCTTTGATTTATATGTGCTCCTCAAATCAGGTCGGGTATCATGGAGGGTATCCTTGTGATGAGTACATAATTATGATTCGACCTAATTTGGGGAGCACATAAATCGAAGAGTCATTTTTCGCCGAAACTCTGAGTCATGATGATTCACACGGACAACCAGTCCATGGCTCAGTGCCTGAAGAGTACGAATTAGTCCGTGACTCGAATCGGATAACACATAATTCTCTGGTGCTATTCATATCTCTATCTCTTCCATCAATCCTAATTCAGACACGTCGGTGTCAGGAATGATCTGTAACGTGGGTACCTAATCGATTCACGTAGTTTTATTTGTGACACATAATCAGCAAATCATCAAAGCGAAAAAATGACGCATCATTAGGTACACCTCAATCAGGTCTAGTCGATCCTCTTACTGAGGGTATACTTATGATGAGTACATGATTATGATTGGACCTGATTGGGGGAGCACATAAGTCGAAGTGTCATTTTCCGCTCAACCTCTCGGAGTCATGATGATTCACATGGATAATCAGTCCATGGCTCGGGGCCTGAAGAGTACATAATTACTCCGTGACTCGAATCAGATGACAGATAATTTTTTTATGCTTGTTTCCTTATTTGAATCCTCCCCCCCCCCCCCCCCACTGTGACGCCGATTTAAGGTCATGGACCCTCCCGGGATGGGTTGTCGTTTGTTATTGTGGTGGGCCCATAATTATGATTGGAGTTGATTTGGGAATCATATAGAATGATGACGCAATGATTAGCCCAATTCTGAAAATTTTTAAACAAAAAAAAATTTCTTTCTCACATAAAAATGCATGAGAATCGGATTCTGGAAAATTACTCAGAAAATTATGAACAAGAAATCTATGTGAACATTTCTTTTTATACGAAAAACCGAACAAGAATTTTGCCAAAAAATATCACGCAAAATATAAATAAAAACTTACCATCCGGTAGGTTCTCTCCACTTCAGTGATGACTGATCCGACCATTTTCAAACTTTTGTTTGACACACGGAGCACTGTCCGAAAAACGGTGGAGACTTGTCACTGACTATCCTGAAGAATATGAAGTTGTGAGTAAGTGTTCCAAAGATCTCCCAGTTTACATATCTCGAATTGTTTATTTTCTTCCTCTTTATCAAGTATCGCGGTAGTGATACGTGCCAAGACGTATGCGTGAAATGGCCACTACCGCTATACTTATTCCGAAGCGCCTCCTCCCTCCACTCATATTTCGATTTTCCTGTGTATAAGGATGCTAGTGCGACGAATTCTATCAAAATACGTGTATTCTGGCTTGTTTTGTTTTGGTTTGGAGTCGATTTCGATGTATCGATCTTTCATTCATTTCAATGTTTACCTTCTCCTTGTGACTTGTTTTGTTTGGATTCCGACCTCTATGTCTCGATATTTCAGTATATCGATATCTCGATAGTGAATAAATCGAATACTCTACACCACTGAGAGGGTTACGCTTATCAAGTATCGCGGTAGAGATACGTGCCAAGGACGTATGCAGCGACTGGCACCTACCGACTGATACTTATTCCGAAGCGCCTTCCCCCTCTCCTAATATAGTCCATAAGCTGGGGGGTGATTTGCATACATTTTGTGGAAAAAAAATTTTTCATTGGATTCTATGTTTTTTGATCCGCTGAATCCGAATATCGAGGTCTCCGGTTCAAATTCATGCGCAGTTGTTTGTTATTAACAATTTATTTATAAACAATTGAAAATTCAACTTTTTCGAGCGGGAAAATTTTTTTCTGTAAAATACACGTGATTTAAGGGGGGCGGGGTAAGTCCTGAAACATTTTGCAATCGATATTCGCGACGGTTTTATTAATAAAAATTCATTAAAAAACAATTTTACAAGGTATTTTCGACAATATTGATAAAAAATCATTTTCTTCGTGATTTGCATTATTTTGTGAGTCATTTATATGGTCTATGATCTATTAACACCAACACCCACTGTTTTCATACCGGATTGTTCATTTTTTACATCATTTGTTTAAAAAAAAAATTAAAAATTTCCAGATTTTACTAAAACAAGTCATCCGCTTCGTCTGTTTTGATTCTCGATTCTCGATCATTTTCTCGATATTTCGATGTTTACATCGAGATCTCGCTATCGATGAGGAGAGGGAAGTAGAAAATGGCAACCTGCCGTTATGATTTACGACCTATGGACTCCACGAGGCGTTATTTACGACGTAAGGAAAATTGTCAAACGGAAAAATTGTCAAATGAGAATGCGAAGGGGGCGTCATCCGGTCGGAGCAGGTCTTTTAGGCGCGGGTTTTTTGGCGCCACACACCGGAACGATGTTAAAAGACACCCAAATTTAGTATTTACTCGGTGCGCCAAAAAGTCCGGCGTCAAAAAGTCACGTACCGTCATCCGGTAGCTTTACCCCGGTTTTTGGGGTGAAGAAGCGTTTTCAAGTTAGAATTGTATAGATAAATTCAAAACTATTTTTTGCTTAAGATAATCTATTCGGGAGATTTCTCAAGAACATTGATTTATACGTTTTCATAGGGGCAAAATGGGTATTTGCTGACCTCATTCGATTCCTCAGGGTTACAATGGGTCTTTCTTCTACCCCTACGATTCCATGGGGGCAAAATAGGTTTTTCGTGTACTGCGATTTCATGAGGGTAAAATGGGTATTTTCTGACCTCATATGATTTCATGGGGACAACACGGGTTTTTCGTGAACTCATACGATTTCATTGCGGCAAAATCGGTATTCTGTGAACTTTTACGATTTCATGGCGGCAAAATGGGTTTTTCGTGAATTCATACGATTTTATTGGGGCAAAATGGGTATTTTCTGACCTCATACGATTTCATGGAGACAAAATGGCTATTTTCTGACCTTATACGATTTCATTGGGGTAAAATGGGTATTCTGTAAACTTTTACGATTTCGTGGCGGCAAAATGGGTGTTTCGTGAATTCATACGATCTCATTGTGGTAAAAGGGGTATTTTCTGCCCTCATCCGATTTCTTAGGGCTACTGGTCGATTTGACATGGAATATCTTAGATACATCTCCCTATGTTAGCCGCTAACAGTTATCCACCAAGGCAACGTGGAGGGAAGCTCCTTATCGTGGTCTCATTTCAGACGAAAGCCCCGTCTAGCTTTCCGACAGGTATTTTCACCTCTTGGTCCGAGTGGCAGTTCTCAACTATCGTGAGATCTTACTAGAGCCTTGTCTCCAAGCCGTTTCGTCGGCGGATTTCGCTTCACATATAGCCGAGGCTTCTTCAAATTTCTCTAGATGTCTCCTCCTGTCTCTCTTACCTTTTCCATTAATTCAAAGAGGTTTCAGAGATCTTTTTGAGATTTCAACCCGTAATAATAAAATCTCGTTACAGTGCTTACATCTAAATGGAGTTCAAAATATGTATTCATGAAAAATGAGACGTATGCCGTCATTCGTTGTTAAGCCACCGCATATTGTTTACGAGTTCTTGCACCTTCAAATTAAAGCTTTGTATTCATTCAAATTGAAATTTCCAGTTTTTTGTAGCGGGGTAACTAAATATGGTCCAGAAAGTCCGAATATACGATTTTCCGATGGTATCTGTATGGATGGATGTATTCATATGTGTGGTCTTGTCATGTGTCACGTTTGATGGCATCCTACATCATTTCCAAAGAAAATTACGAGATGATTATATGACACGTTTACTAAACTGCCAATCGGGGAGCAAAAATAAGGGACATTGAAATTTCGACAAAAGGGTAGGCTTTTCATGTTCAAATGAACGAACTATTATGATTAATGGATGTGTATAATAGATAGTCTTGACGTGAGAAATAAACTCAAAATAGAATTTCAATGAGTTTCGGCGTACGAATCATCAAAACTAAACCCCGCAAGGCCACCTAGTATTCAACACTATTAGGGTGAAGACTTTCATAGTATATATTGCAATTTACCTCTGAATGCACTCCAAGAACAGCCGATGATTCGTTTGCTAGGTGTTGGTGGTTTTGGAGGCGCGTTCGAGACACGTTCAAAAATTGGAACAACTCGAATTAATTTGGGATCAATTTGTCTTCCATCTAGACAACACAAAACGCAATGAATAATCAAAGAAAATGATTCAAATTCCTTCCACGATTAAGAATAGATTAAAAGATGCAATTACCTTCTGAAAATCGTAAAGGTGTTCTGGGCATAGCTCTGATTGGTTTAAAATGATGAATTTCCTGATTTATACTGTCATGGCTGCCAGCGCTCTCGGCTCTGCCGATCCTCTCATCCTCATTTTTTATCGTTTTAATACAAAATTCAATGCCAAGATTCTTACCACTCGGTAAAACATCGCTTGGTACACGTAACTCTTCTTCACTCCTTGTACCATAGATCTTTGAATTTGAACAACTTGGCTCCGAGTAATAAGAGTTCGCCTTTCCTATCACCATAACAGACTGATTATTTAATGTTACAACACTGTGAACCGAAACTGGACCTTGGCAGAACTCTTTTCTATTGGCTGCGACCTTGACATCTAGTACTAAATTTTCCGACTGCTGTGATGATTTATCAAGGTCACAATTAGTATTGAAAGTATTCGTATTGAAAGTATTAGTTCTCTCATTCTTTGTATAGCAGGTGGGAACGTTGTTTATAATTGACGGCCCACCATTCAGTGGTAATATTTCTATTTCATTACTGGGCATTTTGATATTCATGCTATTACTGTAGAAGTTGGGATTTGTCGCTTTAGTCAACAACTGTTTCTTTGCTATTGTTTTGGCAAATAACTGATCTTGTGCATATTGTGCCAACTTTTGTTGTTCTTCCTCTTCCAATTTTCGTATTAATGCTTCATTCGCCATGATCTCAGATTTGCGTTGAATTCGCCTTTCTTCCTCTGCAATTTGAAGTTGCATTTCGTACTCCCGCCGTATTTCACCCGCTGCGCTAATGATCTTAGGTGGGTAAACTGAAATATTGATAACAGTTTGGTATTATTTACGTGAAAGAAAGGAAATACTTGTTCATATTAAAATCCGAAAAAACAACCAGGGGTTCAAGCCTATCGAAGAGAAGGTATATGACCGTTACTTTTTGAGTCACTGGTCTCTTTGTCGTTTGGTTTTGAATGGAAGCTTTGTAATCATCCATTTTTACGATTTTCTAATTTTGTTTAGAAATGATGTAGAATGTCATGAAACGTCAAGATATGATGTTTGTAAAAACTATGTGTATGTATATTCGTCAATGTGTGCGACTTTTTCGGCATTTTTTTTATAAATCTTTGAATATACGCCAGGCATCATATCGTCTATCAGGCATCATCAATTTCATAAATCCGGAAATTATCAGCCCTCACGCGATAGGCCATTACAGGAGTAAAATAGACGATTTAATGGGATACTACTATGATTTTTAAAAGTCGCGGGTTATTGGAATGAGATTACTCATACATTGAAGATCGATGATATGTCTAAAAGCGAATAATTAGTGCAAAAAAATGAATGATTTATTGTGCGTTTATTCCCCAGACGCTCAAAATGTTGATAAAAGTCCGGGGTCTCCAATTTTTGAGCTACAGAGGTTTTCTTTCAAATTTTTTGACAAAATGTATGCATTAATTTTACACCGCTATATTTTACACCGCATATACACAGCTAATTTATTTATTTTTAATAAAAAATTCCACCATCCATGGAAAATAACCCAAAAAATGTTTCTGAAAGAATCAAGAATATATTTTAAATATTTGCAGGATAATTTTTTCGTCTATTGTATATGAATAGCGCAAATTTTTATATTAAACAAAACAAAATTAGCTGTAGGAGTCGAATTTCGAAAAACTAATTCGTAATTGTTGTTCTACACATTTTTTCAAAAATTGAATAAAAAAACTTCGGTACCTCAAAAAAATTGGAGGCTCTGGACTATTTTAAACACTTTAAGCGTATATGGAGCGAACGTACAATAAACAATTGGTTTTTCTGCACTAATTACTCATTTTTAGGCATATATATCGATCTTCAATACATGAGAAATCCCACTCCAATCGCCCGCGACGTTTAAACCTCATAAGTAGTCTCTCCTTGGAACCTCAAAAGATTTTGCCAATGAATACTCCATCCGTGTATTTATATTGAATCACACAACTCGTAAATCGGTAACAAAAATCATACAAAATCAGTTTTAGTTGAAAAGAAGACAGTCATGAAATCCTTGCATGATGAATAAATATGGTACTATCATAGATATTTGTTTATACAGGGTGTCCCAGAACCCAACGTCCAAACTTCACCCTGAAGTTGGAGATCAAATTCTGGATCGAAAAGTCCTGAGAAACTTTTCGATCGGAAGCACCCTTTTCGACTTATTTAACGTTGAAGGTGGATGAATCAGGAGTGCGGGATAAACGGACGCCTGATGGCGAGTGGAATGTGAGAGTGAGAGAATGTGGTATCCCCACCATACAGCTCCACTCCCGTTAGGGGGACGAAATAACACTGCGATCATCGTTCTGGTGGCATGAGAGGGGCGGGGGGAGGGCGAAGATGGAAAAATCATGAATCCCCGCTCACATTAAGGCATGGGTTGTTTGAGGGGTGGAAACCTCCATTTTTCGCGTTTTTGATAAAACAGAATTCTTTGAAAAAAAAAAATATTCAAAAAAACCAAATAATTTTCATTACGGAATGTATCAGAAAGCTACCTCAACCTCCTAAAAATTTACCTACCCCCTTCAACTGGTACTTGGGGATAGTAAGCGGGTAAAAAATTAATTTTTCCCGTTTTTTCCGAAAAAAAAATCGGCACGTCCAAAATATGGTGAAGAACTGAATAATTGTCATCAGAAAATATGTCAGGAGGCTCCCTGAACCCCCTCAAGAATCACTGATCCCCTCCGATTTTTACTTAGGACTATTAAAGGGGTAAAAAATGAATTTTGCCTTTTTTTTAAATAAAAAAAAAGATGCACCCAAAACGTGGTAAAACCCTGACAAGGAACACTAGGGAGGTTTTCCCCTCCGATTTTGATCAAACTCATATATGTTGTAGATGACTCAAACTTAAAGGACACGTATTTTTTTTATCGGCTAATACGCGGCTTTAGGGGGGGAAACCATGGTCAGAATGTAACCACCTTCGGGGGTGATCTCTCAGTCCCACCTATAAGGAGGGTGTGTTTACCAATGTTCATCACGGTAATGAATAGCTTGTGAGAAGTTATAAAAATCACAATTGATAGTTCCTTCGGAAGTTGAAATTGGGGGCGGAAACTACCCCGTAAAAATTTTGTTTTTCCAAAAAAAAACTATGGCTCATAATTTAATAGAACCAATTGCATTTGGAAGTGTATAGAAAAATGCAGAATACCTGTTTTTGGATTTTCCCCGTAACTGAAGTTTTCTGGGGTGAAAAAACTAATTTCTCGGAAATATCACCCATCACAGTGGTGAAGTTATTTATTCATTCCATCGAAGGAGAAAATAGCTTATGAGCGATTATGAAAATCACGATTGATAGTTCCTCTGGGGGATGAAATTTGAAGGGGGGGTGGGGTAAACTACCCCTGTGAAAATATTTTTTTAAAAATTATAGGTCAGGATTTCATGAAAATGATTGCATTGGGAAGAACATGGAAAAATGCGGAATACCTTTTTTTTTTATTTAATTATAGAAGAAATAATTTCTGGGAGAACTGTGAGTTGTCCAAATGATTCAGTATTTATTGTAGAAACTCATTCCATCCGTCTCAATCGAGCCTTTACTTCTTTGGCATTTTCCTGTGGTTGTCCATATATATTTTATTATGGATTATAATCGGTAAAGAAATGATATTCATCAAAAAAATTGTCCAGACGGAGAGACTTTCTGCACCACGAGTATCTAACTACTACAACATTAGAACAACCATCAACGTCACATTGTGGATTACAAGATTGTCCAAATGCAAAATCAACAGGATTATCAAATTCCTCTGGTTTTTGTTAGCAATGTAGCCACTTTGGAACCAAGCATAACGAAATAGATTTTGATACCTTGGTGACGATAATTGATTATGAACTAGAGATTGCCATTTGATTACATTATTTCGTGCATGTAAATTGATGTCGTGATTCAAGAGAACAACCGTATCTGAAAAATGACGGACATAATTTTTCCAAATTCTGAAACCGTATACATCAAGAGGTTTTTCCCGGTCGTCCCTTTCGGAATCACCACAGATAATAATTCTTTATTCCGACGAGTTGCCTATTCTACCACTCGAGAGCAATGTCCACTCCATGAATCGATCAACAGTAGGCATTTTGGTCCCACGTGTGAAAAGAATACTTCTTCCAACCAAATTTTGAAGTGCTTTGGAATGTTTGGAATACGATAAACATTGCAATCAGTGTAAATAACTTGTCACATCTTGTTATACATTAAAAATATCATCTTACCGGAAGTTAGTTTTCCCGATTTTGAAGCCGGTAGATAAACATTTGAAGGTCTGAATAGATTCTCCTGGACCCTTGGGCCAAACGTTCCGGAGGGTTCCTTGTAAACAATGAAAAGAGGTGACAATAATTTTTTGTAGCGAAGCTACTTATTTATCGTTCGAATTATTTCACTATATTGTATTCGCACCGGCTTAGCAGCCGAATACCTGACTACGTCACCTCGTGACCATTCGTCATATTTCGGGCACCCTCGATCGGATGATCTAATTGCCTATATCGTCGCGAGAGACAGATTCGTGATAGCTCTCAAGGTGTAAACATCGACACATTCGCTGTGAATAAATTCCATTCGATTTCTACCGTTATAACGCGTGTTATAATTTCATCAACCCGTCCAACATTCCCGAGTATCCCACAAGTGGTGACCCTGACGTGATCCTTTTAACGTGATCAATAAAATTATCGTTTTAACGTGTTCAGAGTGAAATAGTTGCCGTTAAAATTAAAGTAATTTTCGATCGCTTGGTTTTCGTGGATCATTCGGGAAGCGTTGGATTTTTCGATACGTGCTCGGTAGCGTTATATCGTTCAACGCGCTTGTGTTACCGCGTGTGATATTTTGTGCATCGTGGTGCATCGCTGAGCACCCAGAGACGTTGTGCTGCACCGTGAAAATTATCACGAACAATTTCGCCGTGATTAGTGCACTTTTAAACGATTTCAGTGATTTTTCAGCAAAATACCTGACGAGCCCGACACAACACAAGCATTGAGACGCCTCGTGGTTCGACCGGCACCATTTTCTGCCGAACGCCCGGAGCTTTGGTTTGCTCAACTCGAAGGGCAATTTCACCTCACAGGTATCGAAAATGAACTCGACAAATTCCACATGGCTGCCGTCCACCTCGACACGCATGCCGCAGCTGAGGTTCAGGACATCATACTGCATCCACCTGCTCAAACTCCATATAAGGCATTAAGAGAAGCCCTCGTGGAGAGACTCACGGCTTCACAGGAGGCAAGACTGCACCAACTCCTGGACAAAGAGGTTCTCGGTGATCGTAAACCCTCACAATTTTTAAGACATTTAAAATCTCTTGTCGACAATATTCCAGAAAATATTCTGAAAACAAAATGGCTGTCACGCTTGCCAGCAAATACTCAATCAATTTTAGCGACGCAAGCAGATTCCACACTGGACAAAATGGCGACATTGGCCGACAAATTAATGGAAATATCGTCTCCACCAATTATTAACGCCATTTCTCCAGGCGCTGATCCAGCCGTTGCCGCCCTGGAACAGAGGTTTTTGCGTCTCGAACTTTGCATTTTTGAACTAGCGAACGCAATAAAAAACGAACGCTCCCGCTCTCACTCACGTTCCAAGTCTCGTTCAAGGCCTCGTTCAAGGTCATGCAGTCAAAGATACGAAAAATGCTGGTATCATTTCAAATTTGGTGATCAAGCCACTCGATGCAGGCCTCCTTGTTCAATGTCGACGGGAAACGAACCGTCGGATCGTTAGCGG